TACGTACACATTTGTGTCGATTAATTTTTAAGATGTGCTGTCTTTTTCATTGTAATGCGCATTGAGCATCTTTTAGGAAATGGAAATGCGCAGTATAAATGCTATTTATTATTATTATTATTATTATTATTGGTTTCTGTGAAGGGGTCGATGATTGGGTACCCAAAATGAAGCAGTGTATCAGATAGGTGACATTCCGTAAGCCATAGCAGAAAATGATCTACGAGTACAACACGCATTTGCAATGCCCCCCCCCCCCCCTCTCACATCACCCCGTCGACCGATCGTCAGTGGCCTAGATAAGATTTGTGTGTGTGTCTCTCTATCTATCTATCTATCTATCTATCTATCTATCTATCTATCTATCTATCTCTTCCCCCCCCCCCCTCTCTCTCACACCACCCCGTCGACCGATCGTCAGTGGCCTAGATAAGATTTGTTTGGGTTCATTCATGTTGGAAAAATGCGCTAGGACACAACGTTCGGGTCACCTGACGGGGCAAACTGTTACGTTGAACCCGAGTCCCTCGCATATTTGTTTGATAAAGACGAGGTAAAGTGACCCCCATTTATATCAAAGGTTATAACAGGATTCCGGCCAGGGCAGGAAATCCATAAATCACGACCTTTTATAATCTATAATAAAAGGTTATTTATAGCAAGCATTCGGACAGACATGTTCGGCTATAACAATGGTCCAATCATTGACAAAATCCCAACTAAAACAAATCGACAAGACGGCAGGTAAAAGCAAAGGAAGCAAGGCAACAGATAACATTTACGGTGAAGTGGACTTACGTGACCTACGGTAGGTTAAGTTGATTGTGACACAATTCATGATGTGTCATATCGTGTGCATGTAGGCCTACAGTGTATGTGTGTGTGGAGGCAGGGGGGGGGGGGGTGGGTTCACTTTGGTGTTTATTGAAATTCAGAAAGTGACTTCGCATGGCCAAAGTTTGGTACCACATCGTCATCTTACCCCCTGATGCGGTGGGGAGACTTTTTCTAGAGAGAAAATAAAATGGAATGAAAAGTAGGCTCCGAACGTTAGATCTACCGCAGATCTATAACATGTGCATCTCACATTATGTTTACCCAATCTCTATGAAACTGTGAAATTAGAGGAAAAAGAAGCCGGAAGGAGGAGGTGAGGGGGGGGGGGGGGGAGAGGGAAATGGAGAGAATTTAGTACCCCTTCACTCCCTGTTTTCTTTCTCTCCTTCACTAAAGCGTTTCCTGTTTAGCACACTAACACTATGAATGAGTGCTCCATTGGTGTGATATGAATTTCGACGATACTGCATAGGGGCTGCTTGTTGCAGGACAAGCTGTTTCGTTCTTGTTATGAGGCATGTTCATGTCTCTTTAGACTTCGTTATTATTAGTTTTTCTCAGTAGCAACTCGCGTCACCCAGCCCAGGAACGGAACCACACACACACACACACACACATGTATATTTATGTGTATGTATTTATATATATTCACCTGGAGCAGAAGCTGGTATTGGTGTATTGGTCTATGTGAAGGGGTCGATGATTGGGTACCCAAAAGGAAGCAGTGTATCAGACAGGTGACATTCCGTAAGCCATAGCAGAAAATGATCTACGAGTACAACACGCATTTGCAATGCCCCCCCCCCCCCC